AAAAATGATATTTTTGAATTCTTGTTGAAAACAGCAAGTCCCATTGCATTGATACTATGCATATTGTTCATTTTCTAATGATATCTTCTGTTCTTTAATCGAAATGTGCATTGCTAACAGCGGAGCTATTTCAGCCGAGAGGCTGCTTGTTTGATTATATAATCACTTTCAAACTTGAAAATTTCATTAATCAATGTGGGATCTCGATGTATATTTTCAAAATTGTGTTCATCTTGTGCTTCCAATAACTTTTAAATCTTATCAACCAATCTTATCAACCAATCTTATCAACCAATCTTATCAACCAATCTTATCAACCAATCTTATCAACCACTATAAATATCAACTTAGTTAAATATTTGTGTGACTAGCCATTTTAATTTTCAAGATATTGGTTAAAAGTTGGCTAAAATTATTTGGACATTGAACTGATAAAGTGCTCAGAATAAAGAAATGTATACTGCTGATAATAAGAACCAGTAATTTGCTCTCCAAAATTTGTCAATTTGTAACCAGATATTTTCATTTTTGCCAATAAAACATAAGCAACAACGCCCTCATTATTCTTGTTAAATTTCTGTCCAAAATTTTAGCAAGTATTCGTAATAATTTAGGATAGATATATCAGTCATTGTTTTAAGACTTTTACCATACAGAGAAAAGATCTCATAAGAATACATCAGTGATTGTATCCATCATGAATACTTTATTTTCACAAATAAAATCCAGTGAATATTCTTTTTTTCCTATATTTTACATTCAACTTGCTAAAAATCAGTGGAATAAATTCCATGAAAAACAGCCAGCGAAAATTAATTCCAGCTAAAATAAGTATTTTACAGTGTCTAGATTCTCAAGAGGCAAGGTTGCTATAGTTATGTTATGTTTTCTTGTAGGGTTCAAGTTGTTTTTGTTGGGAAAAGAAAGTATGTTAATGAATCCATATCACACAAGAATCTATCAAGACATGACAAAACCACTCAGTCATTATTTTATAGCATCATCTCATAACACGTAAGTATCAATAAAATCCAGTTTTGTCAACCAAACTTTGGAGATATGGTAAAGAATGACAGCTTACTGACTGCCCTGAATGAAATATCAAATTCATAGCCTTCTTGGGAGGCTAATGCTTTCTCTGACAGTCTCTCACTGATGTGTGACTCTATGTGTCATTTGTCATAACAGTGTGTAATAATTTTCCTATGATGAATTATTTTGTTGATATTTTGTGATATTATATGTTTTGTTTCCAGGGTTAGGAACATTTTTGGAACTAATATTTTATCACCAATTTCGCATATTGGAAATCAGGGTTGGGATATCGTAAATATCTGTATTGTTATATCACATGGAATAGGCTATCAGGCTTGGGATATCGTAAATTTCTATAGGGTTGTATCACATGGAATAGACTATCAGGCTTGGGATATCGTAAATATCTATATTGTAATATCACATGGAATAGG